TTTCAAGTTGTCGTAACCACATTTTAGGCATCAATTAAAAAGCCGCTAAAGCTTAAGTTAAGACCAGTACACAATACATATTGACACTGGCAGCAACTAACGAAGCCAACGACAACAGCAACAATAATAAAAAACAACAACAAACAACATCAATAAATAAATAATTCAACGATGATCTCACAAAAACAGCGCAACAGACAAACAGTCAGACCGACAGACAGACAGTTGTACGGCTGCGGATCGTTCTGGGCATTTGACAGACTGATTTTGAGAGATAGATAACGCCATTTGAGTACTCTGTGTACCCTATACAAATATGTTAGAAGGGGTATAACGAAATTATGCAGCTGTTGTGAGAAGACAGAAGATTATAGCCAAGATACGCATGAATGTCAGCAGCATTCGAACATAATCGCAAAACGTGAATACATAGATACATTTGTATCTGAGCGACAAGTGTAGACAGACAGCACAGACAGTTGGCGAGACAATCAGACACCTAATATATATTCTTGCATTTGTCTTTTACGATTGATAAAATTGATTAAAACTCGATGAACACCGACATTCGACCCTAGTTTAATAAGGCAGTTAATAAACGAAAGATACGCCTTATTTCGAATCGACATTCATTTATATTTTCGTTTGTCAGTTAATAAACGATACATTAAATGTAGAGGAAATCGATAAATATCGATATTCAGCACACATATGGCATTTAATAAACGTTTGAGAATTATTTAATTAATTTTTTACGTAGACCTTTGTCAGGCATCCAGTATATCATATTCTAAAGACCTGAGTACGTGTCTATATTTTGACAAATCAAAACTTTTTATAGGGTATTTCCAACTCGTGCATGTTCCACTTAGTAGCTGCTATTTATTGTTATTTCGCATGTTTGCTTATATTCAATTTCGTTTTCATGTAGCATTGAGAAATGTCAACAAATCGGAATCACATTCATATTCAAATGATGAAAGTTAAGCCAAGCTTTTGGCCCTGAATTCTGGCTTGAATGGATGATTTACTGCTTGGCACAGTAACTGATGTTTAACGGGAATTTTGCTAACAATTTCGAATAACAAATTAAAATTGCATTAAGCTCTTAAGCTCTTGATTGACCTGAATAGAACTCTTGTGCTAAGAAAAACCAATAGAGCTCAACGCAAAGGCAACCAAGCAACGAACCAATCAATAATTTTATAGATACTAAGCACATACTATACACATATACAATATATATATATATTTATATATATGTATATGTTTATGTACATGTATAGCTTGTCAATTAGCATACATTTGACATGCCATGACGTATAGGTTATAAATTCGTTAAGAGTCCCAGAACGACTATCGTGTGCTGTGCATTGTGTATGGCCCATAACACTCAATCACTGAAACTCGCGATGTGCATTTTTGCTCAAATTTATTAAAGCAAACAACAGAAGAAGAAAAAGTGGCCAAAACACGCAATCTATACATATTGACAGGATGCCGTTGACGCTAACAACCAATTTCCCTAACAGAAAGAACATCGAAAGAAAGTCTGAAATGCACGCAAACTTTATCTATGCCAACTAATTGTCACATTAAATCGACTAACGAACTAAACGGCTGAGATACTGCAAGGGTATGACTTGTAGATACTTCTTAACGGAATTAAGAATGCAAAAGGGTACTATGAAGGCTTTATATGACTAACCAGGGAATCGAATTCTCTTGCATCGATCAGCGTAAAATATAAATTACAGAATCAGACCAAGGAGTTCGCTGAATATATATATTTAGACAAGATAGATTGGCATACAACATTTTCTTCTAATACAAAAGATCAAGCTATAGAGACTATGTATTTATTTTACATTATCTACCAGGCGCTGTTGTTGCAAAAATTAATATATATGCCATTACTTAATCGAACCCAAAATATATCATGCCGCTTATCGCATACAATAATGCCTTGGGAAAGGAATAATATATATAAGAGATTAGCATATTTGTTGCTAAACTATATTAAATAAAAATAGACACAGATCTGTTAAATAACATGCGACAAATTAATACACAAATATTTAAATTTAATTGCAACTTGAATGCCCCGTTTTAGACACCCTGTAAACGCTGCAGGCCAGAAAAATCAATTGCATAAATAACAAAATGACCCCGTTAAAGTAGAACATTGAAAGTGACAAATCATAAGCACACCTACTCTTCACATACATATATAAATATCTGTTATTAATAGATACGCATGAATGTCAGCAGCATTCGAACCTAATAATCGCAAAACGTGGATACATTGTAGATACATTTGTATCTGAGCGACAAGTGTAGCCAGACGTCGAGCCAATGGCAGCACAGACAGTTAGCGAGACAATCAGACACCTAATTGCTTGTTGTGCCTAACATAATAACAGATCAGCGGGAGGTCACATAATAGCCTAAAAGCCAACAAGCCTCTTTACCAAATCCAACCCCTGGCCCGACCACACGCCCCCTCACGCAGCTGCAACAACACGCTCTGTTGGGTGGTTGCTTCGAGTGGATTTGGCTGCCAATAAATTGTCGGGCTAGGACAAAATAAAAAAGAGGTAACAGCCAGTTGCTGCTTGCCAACAGCTGGGGGTAAATACACATAACAAACGCACTGCGTGCACATATAAATATAATATAAATTGCCAAGTAAAAGTTTAGTTTGACGACAATAACAACAACAATTCGTATAAGTAAAGCCCAAAGCAGGAGCAGCTGATGATGTCATTTTTGGAAACAAATTTATCGATTGCCTTGCAATAATTTATTTAGTAAGCACACACACACACACGCACACGCACACGCACAGACTAGGCCCGAAACACAACGTGTGAACACATTAACCTTGACCTTCAATGACCACAACTAACCAGCCCAATCTATGCCAGAAGCCATACAAATAATAAGAGCTCATTATAATAAAAAAAAAATAAATATATATATATATATATATATATATATATATAGGGGAGCAATTCCTAAATATCATCTTTATAAGGATCACTATTAAATAATTTCACAATGCTCAGAAATTGGAATCCATAACTTTCGTATTTTTGAGCAAAGATTTTTTGCACTTTTGAGTAAAGAATCTTTAAGAACTCTATGAACGTTTTGTATAGTATTTTTTCAAAGACTATATTCATACTATTAATATTATCTTTTCTCTAATCAAACCGTTTTAAGCCATCTCATAGTTAAAATATATAATTTTCCAATGTCATGCTAATGATAGCAATAATAATATCCTACAAATATGTCCAACGTTTAGGGTAAATGATAATTAAACATTTAAACAATAAAAAACCCGCGGGAAATAAATAAATTTATTCTATTGCCAACAAATGAGACTTTTGCACAGCTAAGCCGTATTTTCATTCGAGACTCGAATCGAAATGCCAAAACCGGCATTCCATTTGATATTTCATTTTCATTTCATAATGTTGCCAAGTTAATTGTTTTTCTTTGCCAGATAAAACCTTTGCTTTAATATGCTTGCGATTATTGTTTAGATTCGTAAAGTTGGCGATTTTTCACCCACAGCCCTTGAGAGATATGAACTAAATTGATCGGACTACCAGATATTTATGACGTAAGAAGTTCAACGCTGGAGTTGTTGAACAATTTGACATTTGAGGGTGAAAATGCAGGAAACACATTTCTTGCTATTGTCTTTTAAGCACCCTCAAGGGTAGCAAATGCGCGTCATTTGCATGACACATTTTATGGCACCTTTTTTTACCACTGTTTCATGCCTAAGCAAAGGTTTAGTTTTAATCCAAACAGCTTTATACAGACTTTCCATCCAATTTCAATCAGCTTAATGCTAACTTTCAATTTCATTTTATTTTAAGGATCCACCCGCAACCGCGGAAAATGGGTGGAAAGCTACAAATAACAATTAAAGTGTAAGCAAAGCTACATGTTTACATTAAGATACTTCATATTTTTATTAACTAACCAAACATATTTGCAATTGCCTTTGTTGGTTTAAGTGCAGTGCACAAATATTGAGTCGGAAGTTACAAAATTTGAATAATTGAAATATCAATGTACTTTGCGCTTCCACCTATGGTGCCTTATCAGTTTGGCCAAAAACCAAAAAAAAAAAAACAAACATTGCGAAAAAAAATTATTTGCAAATGAATGATTTATATAACACGCATAGCTATGCGATAACAACAGAAAACACTTAGTCGACTCGGAAAAAAAGTGATATGACAGAATTGAGAGCAGCAAAAAGCTAATCAAGCTAGTGAAGGACATGTACAACTGATTTGCCATCAGATGATCGATTGCCTAATGGCAACAATGCTAACCGAGGCAGCAAAGTGGTATGGAATCGAACCCTAGGTGGACCCAAAAATGTAATCCCATTTCACTATTAACCAAACCTGAAACACGTTTGCCACAAAAACTTACTAAGTTTAGGTTGTAATTTGGCTAGCTAATCGATTAGTTCATAATCTAATTCAGTTTTTGGATTGGATATATTTCAAGAAAATAATTTGAATAAAGTTTGGGTCGTTGAAAAACAAATACTTAAAACAAATGAAATTTTTTATAAAATAGTATGGCCACACTTTTTATGAAATCTTTGTTTTATAAAAATATTCGAGAGGAAATAACTAGAGGAGCCAAAACCTGGGTATATGGACATGAAGAACCAAAGAATCGAACCGTAAACCGATAAGAAAATAGATTTGTTTTGAGAATAATATGGCCACACTTTTTATGAACTCTTTGTTTGATTAAAAGTTCGAGACGAAAATAACGAGAGAAGCCAAAAGAATAACATGGTGACACTTTTTATGAACTCCTTGTTCGAGAGGAACCAAAAACGGAGTTTATGGACGTGACGAACCAAAGAACCGCACCGTAAACCGATTCACGAAAAAACAACTTCTTGATATTTCAGCATCTAGCTGAGGGATTTCAAAACGAATGTCTGTCTAATTTACCTCGTTTCTCCTTGATGTGACTGTCGTACTGGGAATTGCTGCGTGCGAAATTGATCGACGCCATGGTGGATTGGAACTCCTGGTATTCGTGTTCGGATTCGTTGTGGCGGTTACTTTGTGTCGCTTGAGTCTGATAATCCTGACGCAGACTCTTGCTGAAAGTACCAATGCCGCTCAAGGCGTGCGCCGATGAGGGCGTTGTGGAGCGCGTGGGCGTGGACACAATCACAAGACTGCTGGCCGGTACACCCTCAGTATCGGAATCGTTATCGATGACGTCCGCATCGACGTCAACGTTGACGTCGTCTCTGATGCGTATTTGCGAGGCGGTAAACGAGATATTGCCCGAGGGGCTTGGGGAATTGAAACCGATTGATTTACGCGACGTTGAGGACTTCCTTTCGGACCTATCGGACGACTGAGTTGTTGTTGTTGTTGTTTTTGTGCTGGTTATCGTTTTGTGGCTAACAATTTGACGGGATTCTTCCGTCGAAGAACCGCGCAATTGGCACGTTGCAGCTGGACTGAATACCTCGTCCGGCGTTGCCATTTGCGGTTGCTCCTTCGTGCCAGTCGGCGTGGATGTTAGCATTGTTTTTGTTGTTGATTTTCCCGTTTGCCATGACAGTTCGCTTGGACGCGTTGCCCGTTGTTGTTGCTTCTGCTCCTGCTCCCGCTCCCACTCCCGCTCTTGCTGTTGTTGTGGCGTTGTCCCGTTGCCACCCACCGGCAATGTTGTTTGCTGGTACAAACGCTGCCGCCTGCGTGGGTTGCTACCCACGGTAATGTCAATGTTACCGGTTGCCATGGCATCCTCGTCCTGCCCACCAAATTGTCTAATGCGTGCGCGCACCGAGCCGTCAGTTTCATCGCGCTGCTCGCCATGCTCACAGCCGGCTGCTCCACTTGCTTGTGGTTCCAGTTCATCCTCCAGTTTGATTAATATACGTCTGCCGCCCGCGGTCATGTCGACGCTGTGCGGCGAGGTGACGCTCGAACGTTCGCTGGAGATGCTGGAACGCGACCAGGAGGGCGAATCGCGCGGCGACACATAGCCTTCGCCATGGCGATAGATCTTCTCATCTGTATAGCCACCATCGCTGGTCCTCGAGGAGGTGATAATGGTGCGCACGCCATCCGCCGCCTGCACCTCGCGCACCGTACGCTCCCCGTCCAGGAAACGCTCCAGCTCCATTTGACGGGATAAGTCCTTTTTCACAGTGCGTCGTGTGGTGCGAAGCGTGACATTGAAAGGCGACAGCTGCTCCTCAACATTGCCCAGCTCAGCGCCAGGACTCAGCCGACTGGTGGTCTTCAAGGTGACATTAAACGGACTGGGCGTCTGCTCGCTGGTCACCTCGACGCGACGCGGTGTCGGCGTCGTCTGGCGCAGGTGTACCTGCTGAAAGGCCAGCTTGGCTGCCTCCGCTTCGGCCAGGCCGCGTTGTCGCTCCTCGCGCAAACGTCGCTCAATTTCATGCACATCAATATCGAATGGATTTTCCGCATCATAGTCGTCCGTCTGCTGCTGACGCAGCTCGTCCGTGCCCAGTTCGGCGGGGCGCTTGCCACTGCCATCGGACCAGACCTTCTCATATTGGGCCACCTTCTCGCGCAAGCGATGCGGTGGCGTCTCCAAGTGCTCGAGACTGCTGCTGGAGGTGGTCAATGACGTGGTAATGGTCTTCATGTACGTGCGCGTCACTGTGGACGTCTCCAGCTGTTTGGTTTCCTGCTCGACATTCTCCGTCGTTTTCTGCTCATGCGCATGGCGACGTCGAACAGCTGGTATTGGGGGCACGTCCTTGCCCACATCAGCTCCATGTCCCTCCGCGCTACTGCTAGCGCCGGCATCTATGGTTGGATCCTTATGCCTGCCTGGATCTGTGCTATCGGCCATGATAGCATCGGTTCTTTAATACGCTTGTCCTTAGGCCAAAATGTCATTTGGGTTGGGCTGCCACAGCCTTGTCCTTTTGTCCTGCTTCTGCTTCTGCTGCCGTTCGTTTGGCAGCCCAAATGCAAAATTGATTTTTCTCACGCAACGACAACTACAACAACAACAACAACAGCACGAACACCAGTAGCTTTCCCCACGAACAGAGTTTTCCTTGCCGGGAACAACCCCTGTGTGGCCCTTCACTTTTGGCCCTGCTCGCAATTTAACTGTAATTTGTTTAAAAGCACACCACAAATTTTAATCACCGCAGCTTTTTGGAACTTCGATTTTCGTTTTTTTTTTTCGTTTGTATATAACACAATATAACACAATATCACATAGTACAACAACGAAGTCTCGCACGCGTCGTTAGGTAAGAAGAAACACGTATTTTATTCGTAAACCTTGAATAAATTTTAATGTAGTTTTCGGCAAAATATTATAGTCCACTTCTCCACACAATTAAACTCAGACTAAAATGGCATGCCTTCGGCAAGCAGACAACACACATTATAGCCGAGCTTCAGGTTTCATTTGTTCCGTTTCCAATCCGTTGTTGTAGAAAGCCGGTTCGATACTGAGTCGTCGTCAATGTGCTACGCCTTGTCCAGAGACCAGCAACAGCAGCAGTAGCAGCAGCAACAGCAGCCCAGAGTACTGACTGGACTACAGTAATCGTAGTAAAGCTCAAATTTCGAAGAGAGCGCGCGAGCGTAACGAGAGCCGTTGTGGAAAGAGAGCGTACGACTGTGAGAGCGCATAAATTTTATTTACGCATTGCGATGTATATGTTTACCCACGCCATGCTTACCGCTCCGACAGCACGTATTACCTTTGAACCAACGGCTTGTGTTATCATAGCATGGGCGCAGTTGCCGGCTTGTGCAGTAGGGTATTGTACAAGCATCAAGCGGTAATATTTTTTGTTGTTAATTACATCTTAAATTTTAATCAACTAAAATCTGATTGTTAAACAATAACAAATATTAAAAATAAAACAGTTTATTTCTCTTCTGATCTCTTGATTCCCAATGCTTATTGCATCTTTTGGTAATAATTCTCTACTTTCCAAGTATTATATAATCCATTGCATAGTTTTCCTGCAACTCCCGATATGAATTTTACAGTTGCTCATTCATTCAGCTTGCTTTTTTAACCCCCATTTTACAAAACTGCGTCACCGAAACTGCCCTACGACTATGAAAAATGCCGATACGCAGAAAAGCTCTGTTTTTTTTTATTAGGGTGTAAAGTTTTGAATGAGAAACGCACTGTAACTTGCGCTCTCACCCAATTACGCTCTCATTGTAATAAATCATTCATGTCAACCCGCGCTCTCTCTCTCTTTCGCTCCGTGTGTCTACACTACTGCATGTGTATTAGTGAAATTTAAGTATATTTAGCTTCTTATTGCGCTTTGCTTTGTTATTGTTGTTTCTTTACGCCTTCTGTGTGTGACATCATGAGCGTGAGAAAATACCAATTACAGACATTGGGTGGTTGGTTCAAACCAACTTACTTCCACACATTCACACTTACTTATAAATATGTGTGCATGTAATCTAACCCCGAGCGAAGTGCACGTAAAGCGATTACAAAGCATTTGGCAAACTGCAAATATGTACCGTTTTTAAGTGGCGCCCGCATCGAAAAAGTGGGTCATAGCACATAATAAAGCTCAACTTACAGCAATTAATGAAAGTCATTCATGAAAGCGATCAACCAGTCACAAAACCAAAACAAATGTTTATTTTTCAGCTTACATAATCGTGGCTTGTGTTTATCATTCAAACAAACAAGTTTTCGGAGCTATTTTTGTAAACATGTTGAGTGTGTCTAATGACGTCACGCTTTGGTGATTGCATTGCGTTTTATTGTTGTCAAAACTAGAAGTTGACCTTACAACCTGAAGCTGCCTGCCACTCGGCAAATTAGTTATGCTCAGACATCTACTTATTATTATTATTCTAATCTAAATCTGTGCAATCATTAAATATAAGGTCGCCCCGACTAATGTTTTGTTGATGATATTATCTGAATTTCGCATCAATCAGTTGTTGTAGACGCTGTCATCAAACTAACAGCTGTTAACAGCGCAGAGCTAATAACATTGCTTGGCAGACGATCTATTTAAAATGCCACAGGCTGTAGAGGGCGTGTTAAATACCATAAAAACAAGCACTTAAAACTATTAAACAACAGCGAGTACATGATTTAATTGGGTAAACAATAGTGGCTACAACATCTGGACAGCCCCTAAAACAACAACAAGAATTTCAATATGTTATTGTTCATGTAAGTTTTATTATACAGCGCGAACCACTGTCGGCCGTAAAATGTTAAGTGGAAACACTTGACAGTGCAACAGGGGCGTGGCTATAAATAGCTATTGTAATTTTAATAATAACAGAGAACAGCTGCTGTTAACTCTTTAACGCCAGTTGTCAAAAGGGGATTTAGTCGTAATCTTAGATAAACTGTACTTTAACACAAAACTTATTTCATAAAAATCTCAGCTAAATAAATTCTGTCCTGTATTTTATCAACAAAAACTATATACTGTAGCTTGGAAGAATAAAAAAACCTTTGAAATATCTTCAAACTATTTTTTTTAGGCTTGAAATATGAGTACTCGAAATAAAATGCGGCGTTTTTGAAAGTTTTAAGGTATTGATTGACAAACATCAAAGCTCTAAATCTGAAAATATTAAAAAAATTTCAAGTCCATAACTCTCAAATAAAATAGCGGCAAATTAGGCAGCCAAAATACTAAAAATCTAAGAACGAGTTTTAACATGCGAAAAAAATCTGTTTAGAAATCCCAATTTAAAATTCCCTAGGTACTTTCATATTGTGTATTTATATGTTCAAATTTCACTGCACTGTTAATTTTTATGGTGTTTATGATCTTATTAACATATTGACTTTGTGAACTTCTTTTGTAGCGCTCTGCGATTTCGTCCCTGACTTTTTGGCTATATTTAAATCGATCAATCTGCTAGGTTCTGTTTGGGTTTGAGCAAAAACTGTTCGCATAAACAATTGTTTCCTCTTTCGCATTTCAGTTTTCAGCACTTTTCAATATTTTCGTTGCCTAAAAATAAACTCTGAATGCGATTCTATTTATTTCGCACCTAACCATAAAGTTGCTCACTTTAATGGAAAGGCAAACGAACAGTTTTTTTTTCCCCTATTTTTTATATTTTTAATTTTTCAAATATTGACTTAAGCGCTTTTGTATATAGACATTCATCTAGTTTCTAAACCAAACATAGAAACTCAAGTGCTCAAGCATCAATAGATGAGACGGAAAGTCAATTAAAAAGCGAATGGTATTCGGGTGCTTTAAAGAGTGGCCAAAATATTTGCACAAAGATTAAGCTATGTAAACCATAAAGACTATTAGCCATCAAAGTATTTTTGTAAACACACACAGAGCCACATTTACCAAAGTCATAAAAAGGCAATTAAAAATCGCGCCGAGAACTGTCCACAGTTTGATTTGTTTGAATTGCGGCATTTGCATATGTCTAGAAGGCATCATTCGTGACCGATATTTACGTGCAGAAAATATTAAAATTAGTTTCGAAATATCTATTTATAGGAATTTCATTTCATATGTTAGACATTTGCTCAAGTGGGCGTGCCGTGGGCTCTGCTAAAAATATAGAGAACACATCCAGAATGCGCCCACGTCATAATAGAGGAATAAATATTTCGTTTATAATTCAATTTTATATAAGCTTATGCAGATTACATTTATGTTATTTAAAGCAGGACAAACTAATTAATAACATAATATATAGACAGTTTATTAAGAAATAAATCAATCGTATATTGGGAAAATATATCGATGTCGATATCGAAAGGCGACTCCAGAAGATTTCCGGAAGATTATCATAGCTAATCTGCTGTATTTTTGTTGATTACACTTTAAGCTCTAAATTGAAATCTTCTACCAAAAGAAATCTGCCAATTAATTTCATACTAAATGTATGCTTAGTTCTATTTTGACTACATAAACCCTTATTTTTTAAATAAGCCAAAAAAACAACAAATACTTGAGACAATCCCTCGGAAAATTGGTTCAAAAATAACGAGCAAAAAAGACTATCTTCGGCACCACGAAGATCTAATACCCTTCCAGACCCAACCTTTTCATAATGCTTTGCCCGTATCTAAGAAGCACAGGGAAAATAGTTAATGCCGAGTTTGGTCAAGATATCTTGATAAACAACAAAGGTTTTTAATTCAGAACATAGTTTTAGACCGATCGTTCCCATGGCAGATATATGATAGAGTAGTCCGATCTTAATAGGATTTTGCATATATACGAGTAGTATAGTAAAACTAATAAATGCCGAATTTGGTCGAGATATCTTTAAAAACAAAAGGTTTTTTTCATACAAAAACTTAATTTTCGACCGATCGTTCCTATGGCAGCTATATGATATAGTGTTCCGATCCAGATGGTTTTGACATATGTGCTGCGTGTAACAGAAAGAGGAAGAGAAAGTTGCATTAAGATAGCTTTAAAACTGAGAGACAGACGGACAGACGGACATGGCTATATCGACTCGGCTGTTGATGCTGATCAAGAATATATATACTTTATGGGGTCGGAGATGTCTCCTTCTATGCGTTACACATTTCACGACAATATTATAAGACCCTCTGCAAGGGTATTTAAAATATACGTTTGCAATGAGAAAACCCAGAAAAACCAAAGAAATGCTGACAAAAACTTAAAACTCTATTTTTAATCGTTTTTTTTTTTTTGGTCGCCGCGTGACAAGACAAGTTCGTGCAATGTGAAAAACGGCTCAAATTTGAAAATAGCAGCAAAAGCAGGCCGACCAAAGGCTCTAAATATAGCCGATTCCCTAGTCGACATATTATACCAAACATGAAGATATATATAAAAGTGTGCATATATATATATATATACGACTGGCCCGTGTTTATTTTAATTCTCGTCTTTTGGCCGGCTTTGTTGCCTAACAAGACAATTGCAACAACAACAACAACAAAGAGCGAGGCAAATGCAATTTATAAATAACAAAATGAAGGCATTTCCCTTGTGACATCAGCGTTAGCATCATCCGAACATGAAAAGGCATTTTCACGCAGCGCCTTTGTCTCTAAACAACTTTTCAATTCGCCCATGTATGTGTATTATGCACATACATACATGCATACATACATCAATAGACGCGGCACAGGCTAGCTGCGTTTCAGTACAAAAAGTGATCTCATTGCCGTTGTACTATATACATATACATATATATATAGTATATATACTTACTATATGCAAGTCGTATAGCTCAACAAAAGGCTTTAATACTCGTAAGCCTTGTCGACGGAAAGTGTGATCACCACAGCATTTGACTTTGGTTAACAGATCAGATTTGTTGAGGCACACAAAAGCGTTTACAATAACAAAATCTAGCCTAAAACATCAGCTTGGTAATACGAACAATATTACAAGATCAAATGCAAATTAATGTAAGGATGAGATTTAAAATCAATATACTTTTTGTTGTTAGAAAATAGTTTGCTTGTATTTGTCAGCGTAATTGAATAAAGCGAACCAATGCCTTTGGATGACATGATCTATAGATCCATCTGGGCCTAGGCTTTGAATAAGAATGTATATATACAAGCATACAATATATATACAAACATACATACAGTAAATGGAAACACATACATGCATAGAAAAAAATACATCATAGTTCTAAAAAACGTAGAAATTTTAATAAAACTGTAAAACGAGATGTAAAAGTGATCGAGAGTTAAAAATGTATAAATTTCCTCGTCTTAGCAAACAGCTTTGGTCTGCTTTAACTTAATGATCGCTAGTAATAAGGATTTTCCCTGACGCAGAAAAGGAAATTTAATGAAAAGGAAATTTATTTACGTAAATTGACGTGTTGCTAGAGAGGCATCTGTGGCGATGTTTAAGGGGAAATTTAGGGAACATAAGTATGTACACAAAAGGAAATTTTATAAAAAGGAAATATAAATAAATACACGCATTGTTCGGAACATTTGTGGGGACATTTACATTCGCGCAAGTTACGCGCGCAACTATTCAAAAAACGAAATAATGGACTGAAGGTATATACACATATAATATATACAGTCTAAAATCGATGATAAAGGTAGCCTAAATAGTTAGTGATATATATGTTATATGTAAAAATGATTCAGTGCAGCTTGCGCGGTTTGAAATGTCTATAAAACCTTTACGACTTGGCAGCTAGCAACAGTTCGTGTAAATCACATTAAAACGTTTGACTATATCCTACATTTTACATTTGCGCTAGTTGTGAAATTATATCTGAGCACTAAAATACGTTTTGGTAGTTTTGAATAGATTACTATGCTATATCTAAGTGAAATACATCATATAGCGCACTTAGCAAGATATCGCGATGCATCAATATTTGCGCGCCCAATAACAATAATAATATGATCTTGTGATCAAGTGACCGATTGATAAATGGAAAATTTGGAGCAACCGTTGACAATTGTGGCAGTTGGACAAACAACAGGCCCCCCAATGGGGGGCTGGTCATCGTCATCGTGCGAGGCCTTATAGTCGCTGTACGCGCAGATAACTGAAACATACAACCTATATCCCGCTCCCACATCTACGCCATTGGCTGTACAAACACAGAAGTTGGGGCTTACGATAAGAGCCGCATGCCGCAGTAGCTGCTGGCAGCAGCAGCAGAGGCAGCAGCAGAGGCAGCAGCAGAGGCAGCAGCGCAGCATCGGTCTGGTTTATAATCAGTTCCACCTAATTTCTACTCAGTCAAGATCACATAATCAACACGTTTAGAATGTCCACGCTGGAAAACGAGGTGACATTTCGCAAGAGAACGGAACTCAGCCAAAATCTGGAGGCACAATTCCACAGCTCCTCCACAGAGTTCATACAGATCACAGATCATCGCACCTCCAAGCACAAGAGTCTCGAACAGCTGGCGGCAGCCAAAGTGACAAATGATCAATCAAGCGACACCTGCTGCAGCCGCCAGTGCAGCAATCTATGCCGCATGAAGACGCTCAGGAAGCGTCTGCCCATACTCGGCTGGTTGCCCAAATATAACAGAAGCGACGCCTTTGGCGATCTTATAGCGGGCCTCACCGTGGGCCTTACGGTCATACCCCAAGGTCTCGCCTACTCGGGCGTCGTGGGTTTGCCGCCCCAGGTAAGAACTACAGGTGTTTGTGTGTCTGGGTAAATATGCTTCTGTCAGCCTTATCTTGACGTATGTAGAATTCGTTTTAGTAGAAGCTCATTATAAATCTAAATACAAGAATAGCTGCTTTTTGTTTAAGTGCGCAATGCATATAAATAATTGGATTCGGATTTGAATAAATTCGCACATTTCATGCCCGAAATTATGTGCCTATAGTTGGGTGTATAAAACGTCTTTATCTTGAACTTGCAGCGAAAGTCGTTGTGAAATAATCTAATTAACACTTTCACAATATACAATCGACCGCTGCTAACAGTTTGAGAGTCACAGTTTTAAGGTACTCAAATGTGTTTTGTTGGAGTAATAATGTGTATTCAAATCTCACTAAAATATTTTTCTGCTAGCTTTAAAGTCTCAGTCGTAGGTATTTCGTCACAGTTCTACAGAACGTAATCCAAATACAGTTTCAGAGTCCCAATATTTGGAGTGTTATTAGTAACATTATTTAGTTACAAGTTTATGCCCTAGTTCCGTCTAGAGGACTCTTACTTGCATTGCTTGTTTTGTTAAAAAACTTCTTCAAAACAATCCTGATTTGAGCTAGGCACAGAGTATGAATCGCTTGATTCGAAGCTGCCTCCACTTAAACTTTCCAACACTGTTTTCCGTTACAGTACGGTCTGTATGGTTCGTTTATGGGCTGCTTTGTGTACGTGCTGCTGGGCACCTGCAAGGATTGCACCATTGGCAGCACTGCAGTTGCCTCGCTGATGACCTACCAGTTCGCGCAGGGCTCCTGGCAGCGTTCGGTGCTGCTCACCTTTCTGACGGGCTTCATAGAGCTGCTGATGGCGGTCTTTCGGCTGGGCTACCTGGTGGAGTTTGTGTCGGGGCCGGTGAGCGCCGGCTTTACGAGCGCCGTGGCCCTGATAGTGTGCACCTCGCAAATGAAGTACATTCTGGGCGTGAACAGCGATGGAGTGTCCTTCCTGCAGCGCTGGATCAGCATGATTGGCGACATTGGCCATATACGCGTGTCGGACAGCTGCCTGGGCTTCGGCTGCGTGGCGCTGCTGCTGGCCATGCGCGCCCTGGGCCGGCTGAGCCTTGGAGCCAAGGATCCGACGCAACGCAATGGCTGGCAGCGTGCTGTGAATCATTTGATACGATTTGTGGGCATCTCGAGGAATGCAACGGTTGTGCTGGCCACCACTGTGCTGGCCATGCAGCTGGAGGCTGGCGGCCGGAATCCCTTTGTCTTGACTGGCTATATACCGCCGGGGCTGCCAACGCTGGCGCTGCCGCCCTTCTCAATTGAGCCGCAGCCCGGCAATGCCACGGCCGGCATTGCGCCTGTGCCCGGCGAGACTTTCCTGGAGATGGTGCACAATTTGGGCTACGGCCTGCTGATCGTGCCGCTCATAGCGCTGCTCGAGAATGCGTCGGTGTGCAAGGCCTTCGCCAAGGGCAAACACATCGATATGACCCAGGAGCTGATGGCCACGGGCGTGGCCAACATTGCCAACTCGCTCTTCAGTGGCTATCGAAGCAACAGCGGCCTGGCCCGCTCGGCCATCAACAATGCCAGTGGCTGTCGCACCAGCATGTCCAATCTATATATTGGTCTGGTTGTGGTGCTGGCGCTCAGCTTTCTCACCGAGTACTTTTGCTTTATACCACGAGCTGTGCTCGCGGCCATACTCATCTCGGCGGTCATCTTTCAGGTGCAGTACCAGATCGTAATACCCATGTGGCGCAGCAAACGTGAGTCGCTGGCAAAGCAGCTAATCCTTATACTTGCCGTCAGCTCAAGTGCGCTTCTCTTGCAGGCTCCGATCTGGTGCCTGGTGTCTTGGCATTTGTCACTTGCCTGGTGCTGCCCCTGGAGATCGGCATCCTGGTGGCAATTGCAGCCAATCAGCTGTTTATTCTCTACCATGCGGCACGGCCCAAGGTCGTATTGGAGCAGCTGGAAACGGAACAGGGCATTCAGTTCATAAAGATCACGCCCGATCGCTGCCTAATCTTTCCCTCCGTCGAGTTTCTGCGCACCATGGTGCTCAAGTCGGGCAGCCGCACCACCTTGCCCATTGTCATCGACTGCACCTATATCTATGCGGCTGATTTTACCGCCGCCAAGGTCATCTCCTCCATGGTTGATGACTTTCGCGCGCGCCAGCAGAAGATCATATTTTTCAATCTGAAGCCCAGCGTGGTCAGCATTTTCGAGGGCCTCAACACACGCCTGGTGCTCTGCTACAACATGCACGCTCTCAGCCATGAGCTGAGCTCGACTGGATTGGATCGCTCGCACTCGATGGACACCCCAGAAGAGGTCGAGAGGGGCGTGGGCCCGGATTGCGTGAGCACGGCCAGCACACTATGCCTGGCCAGGAGCTAGGCAGCCAAGTAAGCTCTTTTAATATTCTATGTATATATATAGGTGCTATAATATTGCTCAGGATTTTATATGAATCGTGCATAAAGGCTTTAATAATATCTTAATAAAATATTATTATCTTCAAACTTAAAAAAAAAAAAAAACATTTGAATTATTGTCAGCTTTTTATCATTAGAATATTTGAGAGTACCAGAAACCCTTAAAAATTGCTTGCAAAAACTAACAATTACCTTTTATCATAAGAATTGTACTTGCATTTTTATACGAGACCACAAAAAAACAATTTGTTTAGTTTGTTAGCTAGTGTAATTAAAAGAAATCTCAAAATAAATAGTTACATATGCACCATTTGTGTCATACTCTGCATTTATGTATTGTGTCAGAAGTACCAAAAGTGTTCATATATTGAATGGCATTTCTAGTATGCATAGACATTTAATGCTTTGCTCTATTGGCGATTGCAAATTGGGCTAAAAATAGAATTGGAAAAGTGCTATAGGTGACATAGGTGCTTGACTAGGTGATTCGCTGTAACCAAGTCTAAATATCCCTCAAGTTATGGATATGACATGAAGAAAGGAAGTATATAATATATGAGGGAAAATAGATAAGTACAAGGTTGGTTAAGCTCTAAGCGCAATAATATCTAAAAAAAATTTAAGAAAATATATATAAAATATATTTTGAAAATAAATGAGAATTAGATCAAATTTGTATACATAAATAATGTCTTTGTTTATATTAAATGCCTGTAGTTAAGTCAACAAAATGTTACCAGTTTCTATTATATTTTTACAAATATATTTGCATTTACCAACACTAGTAGAACTCTATTACAGGGTATACCCAAACCGATACATTTCTAACATGACAATTTCACTGAGAGCACAAAAATTGTCCACATGTTAGACATCTTTAGACTGGGCGCTATAAGGCGGCGACATTGATCGACGTGGGCGACTGGGTCAAGTTCAGGTGACACATTCGCGGGCCCCAAGCTGAGTCAGCACCAAGTGCAGTGCGAGACCAGCAAGTGTGTATATGCACACACATGTAAGTGTCAAAGAAAATGTCAATTGACAATGCAATTTCCCTTTAAAAACTTTTGGGCTAACCTAGCGTGGTAGAACCTCTATAAAGATACGTAGCTTAGCATATGCTTAAAATACCTTTTCCATAGGCAATTCGCCTGTTTGAAGTACACATGTTTATTTTCAATTTAATTCAGCTTTAGCACAAATTCACTTTTGTATTTTATAAGCATTTATCGAAAGCCATTGATTTGTGCACTAACAGGTACTTTTATCGAACTATCGATTGCGAGAAACACACAATCGAACTATCGATTAGCACAATTCGTTTGGGTATCATAACACGTATCGATAGTTTTAATGAAAGCTAACGTTCGAAACGTGTCAAACTGGGGCGAATCCTTTCAAGAAGAAGAGCCCAAAGTGAAAGCATTGCATTCGTTCAGAGCAGAGCCAATTCGTGTGAAAACACTCAAATTTAGAATGAGAAAACGCAAGGTTCAAGCAACTCAGGCCGGCACGGATCCTTTGGCCTTACCATCGAGAAAACCATTTGCAGTACAATATTCGAATGTTCAGAGCCCGAAAATTGAATACAATCATTTGCAAACAAGGGAATCAACTGGAGACTCGGGCAACAGCCGGCCCAAGAAACTTAAGCAGCTGCTCTTTGACGACTTCAACGAGGAGAATAATGAAAATCAAGAGCCTATACGTGACATGCTGCCAGAAAGTCGAGCCGTGAAGATCAAGCCAGTGCAGCGCATACTCAATGGAGAGATGGGCAGAAATGTGCAATCTATGCAGCCACTGATGAGCATGGACAAGGAGCTATGTCCCATGCTCGCTGAAGAGGAGCAAGAAGAGCTAGCAGCAGTCGAGCCTGATCTGGTAAAAACTTCGAGAAGCAATAAGGCAGTCATGGTCATTAAAAATTCGCCAAGTCCATTGCTGCAGCAATCCAAGGTCCAGCCAGACAGCTCAGCCAACCAGACTACCACGCAATCCCAGAAGAACGGGCATATTGTAAAGCAGGTGACCTACTACGACACCTGGTACGTGATTCGACCCAAAATTATTCCATCCGAGACACGCCAACAGCGACATTATTTGGAACTACCATTGGTCAAACTGGCCAATGCTGCCAAGCACATGAAGCTGCCATCCGACGGTTGGAGCAGCAAGGTCACACTGTACAAGGTGGCGCCGGCAGTGCTGCAGCGTCACACCTTGACCATATTCACCGGCGATCTGAAGGTTCACAAAATACCCGAAAGAGAGCGCCACAAGTATCAGCCATCCTGTGTGATCTTCCGCCGCGAGCTGCCCCCTCAGGAGCGCAACAAATGCCATGTGCCCTACGATCGTGTCGTCATCTTCAAGCACAAACAATTCACCGTCAATTTCGATGGAAAACTGGTCAACCTGAACGGTTCACCCGAGGCGGTCACCTGTCTGCAGGATGTGCAAAAATTACTAGATATACTCGAGAACATGACATTGTCTCACTCGATGATTGAAGTTGTAACTCCCAAGTGAGTGAAATTGTATTGTTATATTGCACTTAAATACCATAAAAAATACTAAAAAATATATACTAATATACCAACTAATAAAATAATGTACCATATACCATATAATAACAGTACATTGGTATATGATAACAGTATGTGAGCAATATTTTATTCAATTATATAATACTTGACGGATTATTTATTTTGAGTTAAATAAATTATATCATTTGTCTTTGGATGTACTTCAAATAAATCCAATAAAATGATTTTTGTTGTATTTTATTTATTTTATTTGTATTCAATCAGAGAATCATTTCAAAATCTACGCTCAAGAACGTTAACCAAAGAGGAATATGAAATTAGCTGAACATATATGTCAAGGAAGTCAGACAAAAAGGAATATGAAATAAACTGAATAGATTTTCAGTTGCACGCTTAAGAATGTCGGAAGAATATTATGAAAAAAGCCGAGCAACTAAATGCGTTCTGCACTCTTACGGATGTTGAGCAAAGAGGAATATGGGAAAAGTCGACACTTGAAATGTGTGTTGCACGGTTAAGGATGACTAACAAAGAGGAATAAGAAATAATTTGACAATCCTAAGGTGAGATCAAAATGGAGTGCAAAATACGCTTCTCTTCCTTTGCCTAACTTTGATCTATATATCCCATAAATATCCAATATATATATATATATATATATAATGAAATATTATATCTCAATAATTAAAGGCCACTCACCTTGCAGCTGCAGTATTGTCATTTGATATTCGGCCAGCTTCTCATCGATGTAGTCCTGAGATTGATTCGCAATAATTTCGGCAGTCGATGGTCCAAACTCCTCCTCATCGTCATAGATCACATATGACTTGGGCTGCGGCGGCTCCAATGGCACCCCAATAAAATCGATCTGATCCTGTCCGTGTTGTCTCGGTTGTGGTGGCAGTTGTGCTGGTCCGCCCGGCTGGCGTAGATATTGTGGCGGCGGCGCCGGCTGCGGATAATGGGGCTGCTGATGCGACAGCGGCGTCTGCCGGCTGCTGTATGTGAAATCCGAGCTGGGCGTATGGCAAACGATGGGCGACGGAGTTGGCGACAGCTGAAACGAGCTGGTCGGCTGGCCGCCATACGAGTTCTGATGATGCAGCGGCTGCTGCAGCGGCGCCGGTCGATACGGACGCGGCGCTGACGCTGCTCCATATGGATAGCCCGCCGGCGGCTCGAACATGCCCGGTGGCTGATACGGCGCCGGCGACTGATTGCCGCCGGGCCACTGTGGACGCGGATGCGGCATATTGTTATTGTTGCTGCTGCCCATGGGACGCTGGCCGCGCAATTGCGGTGCCGGCGACATGGCATGCCCAAAGGGACGCGGTCCGGATATGATGGGCGGCGGACTGGGCGCTGTTGTCCACGGCGACGGCGGCCGATACAAAAACGATGAGGGCGACGGTGAGGCGGCATTGGGTGCACGTGGATTCCAGCCACGTGGTCCATGGCCAAACGGCGGCGGCGGCTGTTGCTGCCCGGACATTATTTTTCACAGCAATCACAGCCTTTCGTGGGGTTCACTTTTATTTGGGTTATATTGGTTATTTACTTTGACGTTACGCTGACTTCAAGGGAACTCTTTCTTATTTATTCGAGATGGGCATATTACACTGTGAGTACAGAAAAGATAGTTACACTGGGTCAGCAAAGTCTGCAGGTTGGGAGTTTTATAAAAGGAAGAAATAGAAAGGGATAGCTAGATGATGCTCTCGATTCCTCAGCAGAGTCTAGTGCAGCTTGTCTTTGTCAGCACAGTCTACTCTAGAAGATGGGCTCGATTCTTCAAGCAGAGTCTAGTCTAGTCTAGTCGAATCTAGTCTGGCCAGCGATCACCTGAGCGCAAGCAAGCAACCCAATTCTGTCAATACACAAATAAATCATGACCTATTCTAAAATTCCTAGTCTCTTGGTTGGCTCTGATGAAATTGTGCTATTTTCCAACGGAAGTGGGCTAAATGTTTATACGATTTTTCGCACTCGATTTCGATGCTTTTCTTTTATTCTCATTCGACTTTTTTAAAATTGGCGCTGACGCCATCGCAAGCATTTTTTTGAGGCGGAAAGTGCTCGCTTTTAAGTTGCCAATTTTTTAAAGATTTCATTTCTAGTTTAGTTGTCACACAGTGTGTTTAGCATATACTTTAGTGGCACATAATTTACACTCTATGATTATTAATATCGTGCAAAATATTGGAACACAACACAGCACAGCCAGATTAGCTAGCTGTCAACATTTTGAAGGTCTCTGTCTCTGTCTCTGTCTCTGTCTCTACGCAAACCCAAACGTGTGTGATATATGGTCTCGGGTGGCGCATGGCACACGGCAAGGACATAAATACTACACATGCTGCCTGGCCAGTCGACTGATATCATTCATAAACTTAGTGTGGAAGATCATTTATTTAATGATATAATATACATATACTCGAAAACTTATTCGCCAAGCTAACTTAATTGCATTTCAAGTGAACTCAATAGAAGCAAAGAATTTCAAAAATTATGAAAGTGAAATTGGCAAAAATACTGAATAATTTCGCAATAAGAAACAATGTTTCTTTTTACTAGATACAGTAAGCATTCGCTAAAGACAATGGCAATTCGTTTTAGTTAAGTTAATTTTAAACCAAAATCGATTCCAGATTCCAGAATTCCAGAAGATATAAGATATATAGAAGATATTTCCTCGAAAATTGTAAGGTTTCGAAAAGTTCGAATTTCTGGAATCTTCTTTCTATTACAAAATGTTATATATATATATTTTTATATATTTTTTTTAAATAAATATATTTTTATATAAGTTTTTAAATAAATATAAAAAATATACTTTGGTTTATATATTTATTCAAGTCAAAATGAAATCTTCATAATTTATTTATTAAATTTAATTTTTAATAGTTCGATTTCGGGCGGAAATTAAAAGAAAACATTATCCACAAATGAATAATGTTTTAATTAATTAAAAGATTTAAATTAATAAATCAAAAGCATAAAATTCGAATGCCGGATCGAGCCCTAAACAATTTTTTCTAATCAATTTTTAAAAGCAAATAAAATAACTAAATCAAAGAGTTGTATGTTTTTCCTAGCCAGTTTCTACTGTAGCAATTTTGCCGAAAATTTCCAAAAAAAAAATTGAACGTTCCTCATCTGCTCTCAATATGCAGCAAATTTTTGTTTTAATGTCCAGCGGAATATGATAATTTGCACAGTGTAGGCGTGTTATAGATCAGTCCCCAAAGCACATTTTCCGCAGCGGAAAAGGCGGAAAAACCATGCAGACTTTTCACTCTTGCGGCAACGGCAGCGCCATTGCGTTGGGTGCTTTCGAATGGATTCAAAAATAGAAATGAACTCAGTTCGTTAAACTTTTGCTCGGAAAAATCATGCTGAGCTCCTATTGCCGAGTGCAGCATGCTTCGATTATTCTTCATCACGCCACCCCCAAGCCCCACAGCCTCCTCTTCGTCCCTAGAAGTGGGGAAGCCCCCTCTCAATTGTCATCCATTTAATGGTGTTTTAATATAATTGCTGTAAGTGCACTCGCATTAACTGGCACATCATGGGATACAGTATTTTCTTGTTCGTCAAGTGGAAAACGTGTTTTTCCACGTTTTTCATTTGTATCTCTCGAAAAAATAAAAAAACAATGCTGCGATTATGTAATCCGTTTTTTAGTTGTGTGTGTTTTTGAGCATAGGAAAATTGAGTAATTAGAACCAACCATTTGGAAAACTAAACACGTTTTTCGTTTTGTATATTTGAAAAGACACAAGACACAAAAATCGGCTTTGATTATACTTGAATAATATATAACTTTCTATATATGCACTTGTATATATAGGCGTATATATCTATTATATTGTGCTGTGAAAAACTTTCGATATTTGTTGAGGAAAAAACCGAGAACAACACTCGACGAGCACGAAACACTAACTGAATCGGCCGCACAACCGACAGCGGCCAAATTGTTGATCTTCAGGGAAATTCAAATCTAGGAAAATGGGGAAAATTCTTTGCACGAACATGCTACTCGGCAACGTCAAACTCACCGAACTTTTCGCCGAGACGCGTCGAGGCTCTCCCTAGCCGGCAATTGGCAGAGCGCGCATGCTCCCTAGGAGGAATTTATGGGCTTTCTTTTGTTGCCGCTTTTGTTTACACATCGCGTTCTAAACAAAACGAATGCTCAAAGCGAATGGACGATCAAAATGGCGCCAATTACGAAACGTGCAAGAAGCGCAGACGCGGGCCGCTTTCAAAGCGCCAGAATCAAATATTCCCAATTGCCTCAATTGTCAGCGCTGTGAAGCTGCAAGATAAAGCATACAAATTATTTATTTGTTTGCAAACAAAACTGAAATAAGGGATAACAATTATTTATTTGTTTGCGTGCGAAACTTACGTATATGTATAAAGGAAGGTTGTTAACAGGCGCTTCTTCCAAATTCCTCTTGCAAGCTGCTTCGAATAATGTTTTTTAGTCTTTGTTTTAATTCACAACTCATTAAGTTAACAATATTTACATTTCTTGCGAACTTACGAAGGCTTTTCAAGTACAGTTCCAATACGAACTTTGCCACTTGCCACATGGACACATTTTGCCCGATATAAATGCCGATATATCGATATAATATATATCGGCATTTATATCGATATAATATATATCGGCATTTATATCGGGCTTGAACAAATAATTATCGATATAAGGAATTTAAATATATCAGTATTTTAGGGGCGTTTGTCAACATTTTCAATATTTCATTAGTCAATGGAGTCAATAAGTAGACAAAGACAAAGTAGAAGAACGACATCTGGATATTATAATCTGTGGTGTTGGTTATAATTATATTACTTCGTGGCAGTGTTTTAAAAATATTCCCCGTTTTATTAGTAACCCACCAGTCGCTTTTCCAAATAAGCGCAATTTTCATAATTGAAAAAGGTACGTTAAAAGTGCTTTTAAATGGGGAGCAAAAGCTGCTGAACTGTTAATCTCTGTACGAATGTGTGCTAGGAATCTGTTAAGTGAAAAGTCATCTGTTAAGCGGATAACATTTTCTGTAATCATTTACGATGGCATCTACATTCTGTTAATTGGAAACTTGTGGAGCATTAGCTGTAAACTGCAAGTATTTATGCCACACAGCTTCTGTCAGCTTACAAGTTCAATGGCGCCATCTACAGCGTAGTACTGAAATTATTATCAGACAACCGTTAACTTGCCGCCAATTTAAATTTGAATTTAAAAACCGAGCACACATTGAAAAGTAGTTTGTAAGCAAACATTAGCATATTTTTTTAAAAGAAAATCTACTTGATTTATTCAAAGAAAATGCGTTTTCAATTTTATTTGCATTGAACACACAACATGCTTAAAGACTTTATTTATTTATCGTTATCGATTTATTGCATTGTATATCTTGTCAACATTTTTCTGCTTTTAAGCATTATTTTGCCATGTTTTTAGTACAGTGTTTGCATTTATTGCATTGCTTACACACTAATTAATAATTATTAATTAATAGAAATTAGGTTCACAAATTTATGATATTTGTTGTTGCTGTTGTTTGTTATTGTTAATTGTTCATTAAGGTTAGGTTTAATTGAAAGACTATTAAAACAATATTGCATTTGGATATTTGTTTTTATCTTGTATTTTATTTAAATGGTTTTCAAATTGATCTACTCTTGATTGGCAACATCTTTGGATTAAATGCAATTTACAATTACTTGTTGGGGGAGTAGAAAGTATATCAATTTATATTGAATGGGCCTAAGTGTGTGTGTATTGTATTTGAGTGTTGGCTAAGCGCATTTTGCTCGCATCGAGCTGAAATCTGTAAATATAATCCTCTATATGTATACATATATTGTGTTGTTATTGTTAGTATTGCGTTTTAGCATTTAGTTAAATTTGTATTTATATTTATTTGCTTTGCATAAACGTTTCTGTTGCTTTCTCATTTGTGACACGCAAAAACAGTGTTGTAAATTACAAAAATATATCTCGTTTTCTTGTTGTTATGGTTTGCTGTTGTTGTTTTCAAACTTAAGCACTAAAACCCGAAGAAACAACACATTAAATGGTTTGCCATATATCATACACATGTATCCCGATCCAGATATACACATATATGTTTATTTCTTATTACAATACAAAAGGTACGAAAGGCGCGACAAATTCCGCATAGCTTCCATCAGAAACCAGCGGAATTTACACTAAAAATTGACTTAATTGTGAAAGTTAAAGAAAAACCAAATGATTAAATCGTTAAGAAGTTCCAATTCTTACTGTCTACATTGCAGAATCTAGAAAGTGTTTATAATTTTTTTTTTAACATTTTCTTTTTTTTCTAATTTTGTATTTTTTAAATTTTTTGTTTTTGTTGTTTTTTTTTTAGCATAATAGGAAAACTTGAATTGAAAGCGGCAACTAGCACGAGTATCTGTTACTGTATCTTTTTTTTAATATGTGTATAATGC